AACAGACCAACAACCCTGAGTTTGCCCCAACTTGCTGCCTTTATAGAGCTCATGGGCCACAGCACAGGGAAGAGGAACTGGGGCCAGGTGCAGCAGCCTCCCTGAGGAGATCGGAGTTGTGAGCCCAAGGAAACTAAAATAGCTGGTATTTATAGGAGAGAAGCAGTGAGCTGCACAGAGAAAGAACCCAAGACAATCCCCCGCGAGTATCCAGCAGAGGGGAAAGAACTATCTGTACCTGAGTTGGGGGAAAGAATCATCAATGAGGGATTAAAAGGAACAGTTTATGGTGATCACACAGGGCCAAGAACAGTGTCTGTTCCCAGTAGCTTGACTGGAAAATCTCATAATTCATAGAGTACTGAGTATTCAGGGTAGTCCTTCCTCAGTAGTGGGGAATAATCTACTGCCTTGGATCTGCATAGTAAATCACAAAAATAAGACCTGAAAGGATGAAATTGTTTTCAAGTAACTTAACTATATAACTGAATAAAACTCAAGATTTATAGGAATACAAAGTTATCTAGCAACCCAAAAGATAAGACTCATGATACATACCTGGCATCCAGCCAAAGATAACATGTACGCAGACAGGCCTGAAGGCATGACCAATAATGAAAATAATCAACTGAAACTAACTCAGAACTCATATAGCTGTTAGAATTAGCAGATGACATTAAAGCAGTTGTTATTATATTCAAAAAATTAAATAAAGACATGGAAGATATAAAACCCAAATCCAACTTCTAGAAATGGAAACTACAATGTCTGAATTGAAAGATACACCATAGAGGATTAGACATGCACAACATGCAACCCAATTTAAAACCTGGCAAAAGAATTAAACAGATACTTCATAAAAGAAGATCCAAGGATGGCAAGTAAGCTCATGAAAAAAAATATTCAACATGATTAATACATATTACAATTACAGTGAGACACTAGTGAATGAGACGATCAAAATAGACCCACACTTGCAGAGTGACCTCCCTTTACTTTCTGACTGTGGACTTAATGTGGAGGTGTAAGATAAGGCATGGAACATCTTCTAATTCTAAGAAGAAAGTCAAGAAAATCATGAAGATCCTAACGATCTGGGGAAAAAAAATTGGAAACCGGATCTTTTGGCAACCCAGAAAATCCTCCATGTAGCAGAGAAAAATAAAACTTTTTAGAAAACATTTTTATCGTTGGATAAGCATGAAAGCAGGCTGCAGTTTGCATCACAGGCAGATTGCAAAAACAGGAAGAAATTTCACCTTCCCATATAACCAAGCAGACACAATCCATTGCCATACATGTTCTAAGATAAATTGTAATTTGTCCTTCTGTAAGAGTGCTTCCTCCACAGCACCATTTGCTTTACATAGTTCATTCTAAATTCACGTGGTAACTGGGGTGACCATCTGTGTTCATTAGTTGTCTTTATCCAAAGGAAAACCAACACTTCTGTCTCTGATAAGGGTTAGTTAACAGCTTTGGAGAGAAAGGCACCTACGCTAGCATCCACAGTGATAGGGACATTGGGGTGCATCTTTATGTTTACGTTGCAAAGGCAGACCTTGAGGAGAAACTAAATTGTAAAGTTGGCAAGAGGTTTGTTCAACTTTTAAAAAGATTTATGTACATCTCAGAGAGACAATTAGTTTTCTCAAGGCAGTGATCTAAGAAGAGGGAAAGAAGGATAAGGTGTTTTGGCACCTGGAAAAAATTAATATTTTATTAACCTTTACAAAACTTAGAGCTCTGATAGTGTTTTATTGCTGAATGAACTAGCCTTTGTTACCATCTACCTCTGGGCTTTTTTGTTACAGAAGCTAACTCCCACTGTTTATGTAGTTTAGGTATCCTGTATCCTGTAGGCAAAATCATCCTAACTTATTCAACTCCTAAGGGTAGAGGATCCCTCCCAGCTTCCTTATATCTCAGGACAAAGCCTGAACCATCAAAGAGCTCAGAAATGTCTGCTTTGTTCAGTTTATCTGTTTAAAAAAAATGTATATTTTGCATTTGAATTTATATTATACGCGCATTAGCTTTAATATTTCTTTCTTCCCCACCCCTGCCCCTTAAAAAAGAAGAAACTTTAAGACTTGAGAAAAGATGTAGGGAAGAGAGAGAGGGGTAAGTCTTTCTGGAGAGATTAAAATTATATTCTAACCAGTCTGTTAAAGACATTATTTAAACCCAAGTATAAATGAAATGGAAGTTTTAAGTCAATTATTTTTCAAATAATCTAAGGAGGTTTTGTTTTTTAGTTACATTCATATGTAAGCCTTTTTAGAGTTGTAGCGTCTTTCCATGATACACTGGATATTTCCATTGGTAGTTGTCAGTTACCAAGTCTTGTTTGATAAGTCAACATAAAGGACTAAGTAAGTACATATTAACTTGACAGCCAGTTCTTTTAGCCTTACCGTTTCTCTATCAACACTTAACATTTTTCTCCTCAGATTTGGTTGACTTTTCTTTCTGTAAAACTTGCCTGTTCAGTAGTAACTGAACCAGGTAAGTAACTGGTAACTCAACCAACCCTTGTGTTGAGATGACTTCTGGTAACACCACCTCCTGAATACCTTGTCTTTAAATAAGAGAAAGCTTAAAGAGACAACATATGAACAACATTTAGAAATAGCTCTAAAAGTAAGCTAACATCTGTTCAAACTGAAGTACTTAATAGCACCTTTCTATATGCCTGTAGGCTTTTATCAGTGCCGCTTGTCATCTATTAAAACCATAGTTTTAAAAAAAAATTCATATTTAAGGAAAAGTTAGTGTGGTAGTTGATTTAGACTGTAGACTTTCTCAACTTTTACAGCAAAGATCACGCTTCTCCAGTTGTTCTGTTTTTAAAATCCAGGTTACAAATCTTAAATGTGTATGTAATAGTATACCATGTCCTCAATATTCTTTTCTGAATGTGCTATCCAACATAAAAAAGAATCGTTTAGCTATATTAATTTCAAGCATTGATTTTATTATAAATTTGTGAGTGTGTGGTGTGTGAGTACGTGTGTGTTGTGTGTGTGTGTGTGTGTGTGTGTGTATACATCTAACCCCTGCTCTCTAGTCTTGCTCCAGGCCCTTGGGACCAAGCAGCAGTGCTAACAGTCTATATTATTATAAATTTGTGAGTGTGTGGTTGTGAGTACGTGTGTGTGTGTGTGTGTGTGTATACATCCAACCCCTGCTCTCTAGTCTTGCTCCAGGCCCTTGGGACCAAGCAGCAGTGCTAACCGTCTATAGAGGTATCCCAGAGGTTGGGGGTAGGAGTTGCATTAGTTCTGAGGGCTGCCTTAACAAATTATCACAAACTCGATAGCATGACAGAAATTTATTCTCCCATAATTCTGGAGGCCTCAAGTCTGAAATCCATTCCCTCTAAAGATGGTCCATGACCTTGCAGCAGCATAGCTTTAATCCTTGCCTCTGGCTGCACTTGACCTTCCTCCTTTTGTGCCTCTGGGTCCAAAACTCCCTTTCCTTTCTCCTATAAAGTTACAAGTCATTGGATTTAGGTGAGTCCTAAATGCAGGATGATTTCATCTCAAGATCCTTGACTGATTACATCCCCACAGACCCTATTTCCAAATAAGGTCACATTCTGAGGCTCCAGGTAGACATGAGTAGGAGAGGTGGGCACTTCCATCGCATCCCCCAGGGAAAGGAATCATTTCTCAGAAAACTCTTGAATTTTCTGTCACTGATCCTTCACACACTTCCATCTCAAGAGATGACCAGGAGACCTGGGATTCCACAGAACATAGTGCTCCTGGGCACACTTGTGCTGAGAGCTCCCAGAGCTTATGCTTCGAGTCTCCCTGCAGTAAGCACACTCAGCAGAGTCTCTTGCTATGACCAGCCAAGTATGTTTTTTTTCAGTTCCAACTTCTCTGCCCATGACTTGGTGAATAAATCAGTCCAGGGTCAGGGAGTGAGGCTCGAAGCCCTGTGACTTACTCTCCATTCCAGCTTTACCCAGTTACAATATTGATAAGCAGTCCCCATTTACCTCAGTGCTGCGTGTCTTTACTTGGTTTTCTAGAACTGTAATGGTAATCAGAAAAGGTATTAATGGAAAAGATATCAATATGCCTATTTTTAAGATAAAGAAATTTCAGCAAAATCACTGTAAAGGAATTCTTCATCTAGCCAAATGCTAGGTCCAGCTAGTTATTGCTGAAATGAAGAGTTAGAACCCAGATTTCCTGACTCTCAGGTGTTGGTTTTTTATGCCCACTCTGAAGACCCCTTTAATAGAATTGAGATTGGAATATCCCCAACAGTTTAGGTAAAATTGATTGTTTTGTGTCAACTCTATCATTGTTGATTGCTGAGTGGCCACTGTGGCTTGCACTGCCCATGGAAAGGTCGGGAATCCTTGTCTTCATATAAATGAGGCTGTTACCTACTGAGAGGACTTATGAAAGTCTTAGACCTCCTGCAAGTCCATAGTGTTTCTGAAAGCTTTATTTAACAGTTTGCATTATCTGCTGAAAGAACTGCAAAAACTCTTACTAAAGTATTAGCATATAAAAGTCCTTGCTATGTCCAGGTAATGTACTAGTTATTTCCTTCAAATGTCTATTAATAAATGTGAACTAAGCTCTAGTTGTACTATGAGCCCTTTAAGCTGCCAAAACAGAGGGTTGATGTTATATGTGATTTTTTTAAAAATGTTTGAAAAATCATGAAGTGGTTGGTTTTATGCCGTTTCCCAGCATTGTTGTCTTCTGTGCTTCAGACAGGTATGTGGACTTTGTTTTTTAACTGTCTTCTGAAGCCTGGTTGTGCATCTTAACTGGGTTTTCTTCTGCACTGCACTATTCTGGAACACGTTATTATGATTTAGGTCATGTGAGTGAGTGAGTTTCGTTCTGTGATGTGTTTTTCATCGAAGCTGAGAGTAGGTTATTGGTTTCCTCTGCCAGTGTAACTAGATCATTTGATCTTCTTGTTGCACTCTAATTGAAGCTCATTTCTCTCCCTTTTAATTTCAGATATTTGTATCTGCTGTTCTCCAGTGATGATCTTTTACCTTTAGACCACTGGGTATTCAACACAGAGGCTCATCCTCTGCCCGTGTTACATTTAGCCAACACCACACTTTCAGGAAATCCTGCTGTTCGATGAAAGCGGCTCCAGAAAGACCATTCTCACCTGTGTTTTGTTTACATGGACCACTACAGAAATTAGTCTGGAGAGGGGGCTTTTGGAAACCTGGACCTCATAAGTCAGCATGGCAGGGTGAAACATGACTGTGCCCCACAAGACTTTGCAACTTGTAGATATCTCAACTTTGAAATGATTCCATTTTATACCTGACCAAAACCTGGTATGTATAAGACAAAGACCTGGTATGCTTGGATTCTTAAAGAGATGGTCACATGGGAAATTTTGCCTGTTACTGCTATATTGTTTCTAGCGTCCTGGAATCTGGAAACTAGACTGCCTAAAGATAAGCCGAGAATGTGGAGCACCTTGCGGGAGTGAGAGATGGCCTTTGGAACCGATTATATATTTGTTCCTTCCAAAGCTTTCAAATCAAATATTTACTTATTATTTATCCCCCTTTCTCCATTTTTAATAATGGAAGGAACTAAAACAAAAGAACAGTAGAACGGCATCAAGAGCAAGAAGACTGGAAAAAGAAACAGAAGTACCTGTCCCCATCTCAGTTTTCAAGTTCCCCATTGGACGGCCAGACTGGCAACCATTTCAAATCCCAGTGTATTCCATTGAAATTTCTTGGTTAAATTTCATTTTCTCTGGGGGCATGATCTCACAAAGAATACTCTTCAAGTCTTTGTCTCCATATGGAATCATTGAAACTGCTATTTATCATAACCACTACTTATGAGCCTGGGTTTGGGATTTTGTGCATGTTGATCAGTCTAGTGTTGGTAGCATGACAAAAAGTGGGGGAAACACTATAGTTTGTCTCCTTGAAACCTGTTCTAAGAGAAAGCCTTGGTCTTGTTGGTAGGGGATTTTTTTTTTTTTCCCAAACCAGCAAATCTACCAAGTGAATTTTATCCACTTTAACCTTCTTATAAATTTAGTAAAATCCCTCAAACTTACAACTTAATGTAGTTTGGCAAAATTCACTATACTGTTTTGCAACTCTGAATTTACTTACCTTGATGAGCCAAATTTCTTTTACAGCCTATTACATCAAAAACAAACTACAGTGAAACTTGCTTAAACATTCTATCTGGAATGGAGATAGGGGATCCTTTATTTATTATCTCTTCAGATGAGTGAGTTTTTCACAAATATTTTATGTAAAAAATAAGATTCAGCTTTTATTTTCTGCAAGGATATTTATAGAAATCCAAAGAATCAGAACAGCTTCAAAATAATTTTTAGTGAAAAAAATGTAGTATAATTAGTCATGTTAACTAAATTTGGGATATATCTAAGGAAGTTTCTCTTACCATCAATAGATTTTGCAGTGATATTTATTTTTAAAGAAATTACTATTTCTTTATATTTGGGGAGAACTTAAATTTTATCAAGAACTGTATTATAAATATGCTTGTAAATTTTCTGTCCCTTGAATTTATGTCACAGTGCAAGACACTTTCTTCTTTACATTTAATACAAACAGCTTCCATTGACAATAAAATTTGGGAGCAGTATAATTAGTCTAATTATTTACTCTAATTTGAAAATTTCATGAAACAATGTGAAAGAAGCCCACCTTGGAATTCTGAAGGCATATTCTCTTATTTTGATAGCTTTTCTTTTTAACCTTTTATTAGCATGTAGTAGATTTAAATTGGAGAAAGATTTAATAAATTAATATAATTAAGTATTTTCTAAGGGTGATCACCTTATACCACCAAGAGTCAGACAATCCTCACAATTTAGCAAATGATCCAGAAATGATAATTACCCCAGATTTTTCAGTATACATAGAAGATAAGGATGTGGAGCTCTAGTGCATTATTCAAGTGTTTAAGAGAGTTAAATTTTAGCACACATTTTGAAATTATAGTATCTTTTACTAGAAAAATTAAAATTCTTAAATGAGAAGAGTAGACGACTAACTTGAGAAAGGGAAAGTATTTGGTTCTCAAAAAAATGTTAGCCTTCCCCCTAAAAATAGTGCAAGTCCACTTACAAGTCACTAAATAGTGTGAACAACTTGAGGTAGCAAAGAGCCGCTGGGTAGAGACAGTGAGCCACCCATACTTTGTTTTGAAGGGTGCACAGTAAAGGGGCCTTCTTGGTCTCCCAGGAGCTTCTCAAGGAAGGAGAAGACAGAGCCCCGACCCGGCAAGTGCTCGGTTTCTATCTCTGGGTTGAGTGGGGCTTAAGAGGAAGCTAGAGAGGTGCTTGAACATGGCCAGTGCTCGTTCAAGCGAATCGAGAATCGGAGAGGTACAAGGGAAGGGTCTTCACCACCACCCAGTACCTCCCCCTGTGATGACAAGACTAGAGCTTATCACAATGCTTCCATTGTTTCCTTCTCTGAATACCAAAGGCAATTAAAGTCAGCTACAGATGACTTGCCAGTGTCATGTTTCATTTTGTTTTGTTTTTTACAGATTTTTAAAATTATTTCCACTAAGATCAATACTTATCCCACTTTCTGCTTAGTTTTCCAAGAGTATTTACTTTCTTTTGTCCCTTGCCGTCCTTGGCATTTCATAGACCTATTACTCAGGTTAAAATACTCATTATGTGTATAAGACCTTTGCAGAGAGCCTAAGGATGCTTCTTTCCAGGTGCCTCTTCAGAGAGCTGGCACCTAGTTTTGTGCCTTTGGCACAAATGTGCTGAGTAGATTGATCAGTTGGTACATAAAAGAGAAGCAGAGATGTTGAACACCCCTCTACCTTCTCCATTTCTCTTCTAGAATTTTAGAATCACACTTTTTTGTTGAAACCAGTATAAAGTTGTTAAAGCCAAGTGAATGCGGCCCTAACCAAAAACCCATCTCTGCAGATAAAACAGACCCCAGTCAGAGAGTTCTTCCTTTCTGGGGAGTTGCGTGTATGTGTTGTTGTGTGCCTGACACCAACTTCTACCCGTCTTTGAGCAGAGGTGTGTATATGTAAGAGTGAACTGGATGTTGGAGGAACACGTTCCTTTTGTGAAACGTTGACCCTCGTTCTCTGTGACATCAGCTAAGGCACCCCTGGGCTGCCCTTGGTAGATCTTAACCAAGCGGTTTGGAACTGTGACCATCGGCTTCTCATCTCCACTCTCCTTTGCCAAAGTCTTTGTCCGAGCTCCAGATTTGTTGATAAAAGATTCTGCTTGCCATTCTCATTATACAGTTTCTCCTTCAGCCTGGATTTCTGTGAACGAATGCATGCGTGAGTGAGCGAATGAGTGAACATAGAGTTCCTGATAGGTGCCGAGCACTGTGCTAGGCACTCGAGCATTAGAACATTTTGTGACTCTGGTGCCATTTTCTGTGTAAGAGTAATTCATACCATCGTAAATGTTTTCCAGTATGAATTATGTTACAAAATCATTAATTTTATATTTCATTTAAATTAAAGAGGAAGAGAAATGGTTTATAATATATTTTAAGCGATGTGTTACTATATAGTACTAACAGCTATAATTGTAGTTAATAACTAGTCTCTTGGAAAATGTCAGAGAAATACTTGATTTCTGATGTAACTTTGACTAAAATACTTTAGAAATAAATAAAAACATTCTTATTTTGCTATATCACTTGAATTATATAATGAAAAGGTAATGTTTTATAGAAATGCTGGTTATTTTATATTCAAAAAATTTTGTCATGTAAGTCATGCATAAAACCTGCAGTTGTAAATTATTTTTCCTCTGCTAAGGGTCCCAGTCATGGTCCCATGCTGTTAAATATAAATATATATATATATATATATACTAAAATATTTCTGAGTTCCAAATAACAGTCTTTAGTAATCGTATTTTGAGTTCTTGTTTCTCTTTAGTCTCCATACCTTCCAATTGGCTAGCTCATATTCTTATTCTTTACATAAGTATATACATAAATACAATCATACACAGATTTTTGATATTGTCTGTGTTAACAAACACAGTTGCTAACCAGTTTTAGCTACGCAAATTCTAAGCAGAATAATTGGGTAACCAAATATGATCTGGCAATATTTTAATGTACTTATTCTGGTTCAAGAACACAGGTGAAGACAATTTTCTCTTCAGCTCATTCAGATCATGATGGAAACATTCTTTGATCTATAATAGGTCAGCAAGCTTTTCTGTAAAGGCCCAGATAATACTTTAGGCTATGTGCACCATCAGTCTCATGTATCTGGTACTCATTTCTGCAATTGGAACATGAAAGTTGGTGTAGACAATATGTAAACGAAGGGATGTCGCTGTGTTCCAATAAAACTTTATTTACAAAAGCATGGTGAGCTGGATTTGGCCCATGGGTCATGGCTGCTAACCCTTGATCCCAAGTTAAATTTCTGTAAGACCCTTATGTAATCTTTGATCTGCATCTTTCCTCTGTGTTTGAGTTACATAATTCATTTTTAAAGCAAAAAGATGGTATGTATGTATGATTGTATGGATTTGTGTAACCTAAAGCTATATATTTTGTGGTCTTGAAAATAGGTCTACTCTTCGGGAGTCTGTTCAGGTTTCAATATGATATAACTACTGTGAAAGAGGCATTTTGTTGTTGTTTTGGGGTGTGCTATCAGCCAGTTTCCTTGCCTTGTCATTTAGTGCCACGATTCCAGACTCCCCTTGTAAAAAGGAGGGTCTCTGTGGTGTCAAAATACTATATTCTCTCCAAGCTCCGCCTCCTTGTTGACCTTTGGACCAGGACTCCGGATTGCTGGAGCTGCAAAAACTCATCCACTTGAGTACTCTCAGATCCCAGCGACGGGAATATGATAGAATCTCTGACCTTTGTGCTGCAGAAACCAATCTCTTGAAAAATTAGAAGCAACAGAAAATGGGTTATGTGCCTCATTTGCCAGTTGGCAGCCACTCTTCCTTTTTTAGACCACAGGATGGTACTGCCCCTGTTACCTATAGAACAGCCTGAAGCTGAGTGCAGAGAAAAGATCTATCCAATAGGAAATTCCCTTTTCTCTTACTGCATAACTTGCCTCACATCCTTTACAAGTCCATAGCGTTACTTCAGAATGTCAATAGACATCATATCTAAATTAAAGCATCTTCAACATCAGCCTTATATTTCCACCGTTGAACAGCTCCTCTCAAACTTTGCTTGAACCCAACAGCACTCGTGAAATTACTCAAAGTTACATGACACCATATTACCTAGTATATTTGCAGTGTACCAGTCATCGTGAGAGAGAGATTTTTCACTAAGAATTTTATTGAATAGGCATTTTGCTACTTTTGGAAATTCTAGAGGAGGGGGAGCTTGTAAACGAGCTGCCTTTATAGTTCCAGCATATATAGAGCACTTCAGTGTGGTTGTAAGTATGAGTACACAAACACATAAACCCACATCTATACATGCTAATATGCACAAGATTTTAACTGCAGATGTCTTGCTGCTATTGAGTGCTACAGAATTATATGGCAAATTGCTTACCAGAATACTCTATGGAGATAAGCTCAGCTCACTCTTGGGAAGAATTATTTCTTAGAAAACAATTTAGTTTTTGTTGGATTAATTAAATAAGGTATCCCCAGTTTTAATGACTAGATTTGGAAATTGAAATGCCATTCTTCAATCTCACTGGTCTCAAATTCACTGATAAAAATCTCTCCCTAACCTAGTAAGTGGAGTAAGAATAATCTTCTAGATCGGTACCCACTGGCCGCTCTTGAGCTGATTTCCAGTCATGTCCTCCATATGTAACTTTTATAAATTAAAGGTAATATTGTATATTGAAGATCAAATAAAGATGTTCCTTAAGTGAAAGTCTGTGTTTATCCTTCATCTATACCCACTGATGGCAATAGAGTTCAATCTTCCTACTTACATGACAACTTTCGCTCTTACAGTAAGTGGTAGTCTTCAGTCTTCTACCTGAAGAGAGTATTTCTTTTGGTTCAGCTAATCCTTACATTGATGTTAGAGAAAGAGGAAGAGATTGCGAAAAGATAAATTTTTTTGAAGATTAATTTATTTTGGAGAGAGAGAATCTCAAGCAGACTCCTTACTGGGTGCAGAGCCCAACTAAGCGCTCCATCCCACGACCCTGAGATTGTGACCTGAGCCGAAATCAAGAGTTGGACGCTCAACTGACTGAGCCACCCAAGTGCCCCTGTAAAGGATAATGTTTTTATCCCATCTGATTTTGAGAACGATGGGCCTATGTGACAATCTCACAGTATAGCAATACTGTGCCTAGCACCTCCAGGACCTAGTCTACCCTGTGAGATCATCAAGCTTAAATGCCTTGCTCACTGGATCTCATTCCATCACATTAAAATCTGACCTGGTTCTTGAGCAAAGACAGGCTTCAGAGGCTTGAGGAGTAGGGTCAGCTAGGCTGTAGATAGTGGTTTAATCTGATACTGTAAAGTCACAGGATATTTAAAACCCTGAGCCCATGTGGCATCAATAAGGTAGTGGTCAAACCTGAAGCAACAGCTGATTTACAACCTCGAGGTCTCCTTCTTTCCGGCACAGTGGATTTCAACTTGATCAAAATTTTAGACTAGTAAATTTACATTGTGGGCGTATAAAAATTCATTGCAGACTTACCTTTTCAAGAACAATTAAAACACGACCAGATGAAAGAATAAGGATCTCTGAGTGACTACAATTTGATAAAATCTGGGCCTCTGCCTGCCAGATAGCTGAAACTGGCAAATAACGTTCATGCTAAGAGCATGGGCTCATCATAGAAACATCATAGATTGGTGATTGCTGGGGAGTGAGGGGGATGGAAATATTGGCCAAAGGGCACAAAAGTTATGAGGTGTAATGTACAGGTGGTGACTATAGCTAACAATACTGTGTTATGTATTTGAAACTTGCTGATAAAGTAGGCTTCCATGTTCTCACCATCTCACAGTGTTAGATGATGGGTGTGTTAACTAAGCTTATTGTAATCGTTGCACAATATGCATCATATCAAATCATACACGGTTTAAGTTTGCACCCTGTTATGCCAATTATATCTCAATAAAGTTGCTTTTTTAAAAGCGTGGAATTCATATGCTTTTTAAAAAAGGCTTTACTGAAATACAATTGGCATAACGTGTAAGATGAGACCACCTCATTGGCTGACCTAACACAATTTAATTTGGGATGAAATATAAAATTTTCTATTTTAACTAGTGTTAAGTATACAGTGCCTTGGCATTCATAGTCACATTAACGATGTGTAAACATCATCACTGTTTCCAAAACTTGCTCATCGCTTCCAACAATCTCTGTAACCATTAAACAATAATTCTCATTCCTCCCCCCCAAAAAAGACACCAAGAAAAATCACAATTTTCTTGGTGGTAAAATGAGTATAATACAGGATTTTCAGGAGAATTTTAATTTGAGAAAAACCCATATACCTGGCCTGAAATGAGCTCACAAGTTCAGTTATGCTTTCGAATTATTGTTATTAGCATATCAGAGTAATCATTTCTTTTTTTTATTCTTGAGAGAGAGAGTCAGAGACACAGGCAGAGGGAGAAGCAGGCTCCATCCTGGGAGCCCGACGTGGGACTCCATCCCTGGGCTCCAGGATCACGCCCCAGGTGGAAGGCAGGTGCTAAACTGCTGAGCCACCCGGGCTGCCCCAGGTAATCATTTAGAGTAATCATTTCTAAAAGAACAGAAAAAAATTTTTAATAAAGTAGTGAAGGGCATTTGGTGCCTAGGTGGCTCAGTTGGTTAAGCACCTGATCCTTGTGATCTCAGCTCAAGTCTTGATCTCAGGGTCATGAGTTCAAGCCTCTCATTGCACTCCACGCTGGGCATGGAGCCTACTTTAAAAATAATAATAAAAGGAAGAGCAGTTAGGGCAGAAGAGATCCAAAAAAACCATTTAGTTCTACCTCCTTATCTTAAACATAAGGAAACCTAAATAAAAAATGAAGGCATTAGATAATCTTTAAGATGTATTCCAGTTTTATCATTCATGAGTCTATGAAATAAGACTTGTGCAGTTTTGTTATAAAAAATTTAATGACAAGCCAATATGTTCGTAATATATATGAGCCAAGCAGTTTAAAAACTATAGAAATCTTTTTTTTTTTTTGCTAAAATACACAGCAAAAAAATGTACACTAGTAAGTGGCAGTTATCTTTGTGAGGTAAGGATATAAGAATTTTTTTATATTTGCTTGTTTAAAAAAATAACAGCTTTGTTGAGGTGGAATCTACATCAGGCTTTCCCATTGTAAGTGGAAACCAGTGGCTGTTGAGTGAGCTTGAGGGGCATGCAACACTCTCACAGTCCACAAAGACCGTGCATGCCCATTTGCAGTCAATCTTCATTCTTTTCCTAGCTTCTGACAACCACTAATCACTTTTTGTCTTTATAGATTGGCCTCTTCTGGACATTTCATATAAACGGCATCATTTAACATATGGTCTTTTGCATCTGGCTTCTTTAACCTAGGGTAATGTTTTCAAGCCTTATGCTGTAAGAAGTACCAGAAGTGTTCCTTTTTATTGCTGGAAATATTCCACTGTATGGATGTGTCATAGTTTGTTTATCCACTCATCAACTGATGCACATTTGGATTGTCTCCACTTTTTGGCTATTGTGAATAATGCTGTTATGGACATTTGCATAGAGGCTTCTGTGTGAACATATGTTTTCATTCCTCTTGGGTACGTACTTAGGAGTGGAACTGCTGGGTAACATGCTAAAGTTATGTATAACTCTTTAAGGAACAACTGTACTACTGTCTTCCAAACTGACTGTTTTTACATTCCCACCAGCTATGCACAGGGGTAAGAAGAGTACTGGCTTCTCCACATCCCCATCGACACTTCCTATTCTCTCTCTTTTCTCTGCCTGTTATTTTTTGTTAATATTTTTTTAATTTTATTTGTGAGATACACAGAGAGAGGCAGAGACACAGGCAGAGGGAGAAGCAGGCTCCCCACAGGGAGCCTGATGTGGGACTCCAGGGACCCCCGGATCGCGCCCTGAGCCAAAGGCAGATGCTCAACCACTGAGCCACCCAGGCGTCCCTCTCTCTCTCTTCTTTCATAGCCATTTTAGTGGGTGTGAAGATGTATCTCAGTGTAGTTTTAATTTGCATTTCTCTAGTGACTTATGATTGAATATTAGCCATTTGTAAATCTTTTGTAAAATGTCTGTCCAAATATTTTGCCCATTTAAAAACTAGGATTGTCTTACTGAGTTGTAAGGGGCTCTTTATGTATTCTGTATTTATTTTAACATCGCAGTTTGTCTTTTCATTTTTAATGGTGTATTTTGAAATACAAAATATTTTGATT